TTCACAGAAGCAATAGGATTTAATTCTACAGTAATTACTTCCCAATTTTCCTCCAGAACAGAAGTATATTACATTTCCTACTAAATTGAAAATGGATTATATCAAGTAGCTGCCGTCTTGCAACTCACTGATAAAAGAACAGAAGGAAAATATTTTAAGAGTTTGTATTAATCCTTGAAAGGTGCTGAATCCAACAGCAACTGTTGGATGGGAAAAGCAGATCTAAGAACTGAGTGTTTGGGCCTCTGTAGGATCAATACTAATCTTGTTTAATACTCGCCGGAGAGACTATAATATGTATCTGCATCAACTTCCATTACATGTAAGAGAAATTTATATATATCTTTCAAAAAAATCAGGCATTCATATTTCTTTCCAAGTTTTAACATTAATCTTTCAATTAGCTTCTTCAGCCTCTGTCTAATTGTGGTGTACTCAGCTGAAATCTACACCAAATATCTAGCAATGCCATTTTTAAAAAATGCATTCAAAGTTTTTCCCAACACCGGAGTATTGGCATAGTTGTTAAACTTCGAAGCTTGACCAAAAGGTCTTTTCTCAACATGAGATTAGAATAACAAAGCTCCAAGCCTAAACTAGTGAACTAGTCTACAGAATGGAATAAAACCTCAAAGGGGATGTGGGAGTTGTTGACGGAAAAAGAAAAACGCTCAAATGATTCAGTGAAAGGACTGCATTAAAAGTACAGTCTTGAAAAATGAGGGGCCAAACCAGAGCTTTGTTTTGTAGAGAAAAGGTGTATTTTTTCTTAGAACTGTCAAGGATTTTGAACAATGTTAGCCAGTTACCAGGATTTTCTTAAGTCACTATCAGTTTTAGCAGCACTATTTTTGAAACACATTCTCTGAGGCTCTTTGAAAGAACTCAGTAGACATTTTCCCAATCAACAGTGCCTTTTTATTCACTAAATTCCAAAAGCTTAGTGGTTATATCTGAAAATTTCAATCAATACTTTCACTACATTTTATCTTTGTACCTTTCGTTTCAGTTTCCAGTGTCTTCAACAGTCATCATGGCCATTTCTGGAGAGCAGTGCAGTGAGACCAAAGTCATCTCTGGAGACAGATCCTCCTCATTCTTTGTTGATCCAGCATGTGCATCATGTGCCTTTGTAGAGCACAGAAGCCTCTGCACAGGGCTTTGGAGACAGCTCCTGTGGGCTGGACAGCCAGCCACAGAAATTTTACCTACACAGTCCGGGTGTGGGGATCTACAGGTCAGCTTTCTTAAGAAATCCTGCAGTTTTGACACAATTCTGTGCTAGTACATCTCACCCTACAGACTCAGAGCACAGCTAAACTATGTCATGACTGCTCCCAACCGCCCCACTAGATGTCTAAAGTTTTTTCCATTAAACTCTTTGATACAACTTTTGCACTGCCAAAACTGATAGAAAGTGAGTTTCAAGAAGTTCTTGCTCACCATTTCATTATGTTTAGAAAAGACCTGAAATTATGATCTTATAGACTTCACTCCCTCTCAAGGTGCCCCAATATTTTTTACCACCTCTTTTCTTGTCCTGTACAGAGGATGAGTCCTCTGAGACCATACAAGGCAATTCTACCTGTAATGAAGATTGGCTAGCAGTAACTTTCAATGTGGGCATAAAAATGAAATGCTAATTATTAGGCAATACTCTCATCAATAGCAATAACAGAAATAGTTTTTTACAACACTAGAGAGAGAGAAATACACAAAATACAAGAAATATGAAATATAAAGAAAGAATCATAGCTTCCCACTTGAATTTATATAAGACTGTGTTTTCCTCTTGTGCATATTTAAATGTATTTTACAGAAAATCATTTGAAATTCTGTACACATGCTGCCCAGTTGAAGACTGAATACTATATTCCATGAGTAAATATGATGACACTGGGCTTTGCAAAGTCAGAAAGAAAGATTTAGCAGGGACCTGAGACCATTTTGCTGTTTTCCCAAAATTAACATTGTTTCTACCTTGTGAACAGAGCACTAATTCTAGTCTACCACTTCAACTGCAAGGTCTTTGTGCTGCCACTGCCTTTTGCAAGGTTTCCTTCTTCCAGACTCATTCCACCTGCCAGAAACTCCAAGTTTTATTCAAAGAAACAGAACTAACCAGACCGAAATCTGCTGGATGTGCAGAGGGAAGTGAAAGGAGTATTCAGAAAAGGATGAACTGAGGAAAAATAAAGCAAGAAGCAATGGTAGAAATAGATGAGTAAGAAAATGATACTTTCTTCAAGTGCAGCACTGCTCATCACTGAGTAACAACATCCTATCACTGCTCTTGCTTCCCTGCACTTACTTCCACCAGTGTCCATCTCCATCCCCACTGCACACTATTCATCTTGAAACTCCTTTGCAATATTGCGCAGAAGTTTAACTTTCAGAATGTGCCAAACAGAAGATACTGACATTACAAATACACACTGAACTAGCACACTCACATGCTTAGCTTGTCTCTCTCTAAAAATATAATTAGACCAATTTTTTTCCAAATATTTTCATACTGCCAGGCTGGCAATGTTTTGTATAAATCTTTCTTCAGGTCTGAAACAAAAACAGTAACTTGTGAACTACAAATCAGTTGAGAACAATTGTTTGGAAATCAGTTTGATATTGTTCATCAACAATTAGAGACAAGGCAGCTCTAAGTGTCAAATGGGTGGATGCCAGAAGGGTGAATGTGGTGAAGCACCTCCTCTAGTTAGTCATAGAAGAGCAGTGCCTCTACCTCCATAAGGAGGTGACCATGAACACCTACCAACCAAGTCTCAGGTACAACTCAAGATTGGCCAAATTCTACTGTCTTCATTGAAGTCATCAATAGGACGCTCCTTAATAGAAGCCAGCATCCTCTTCTACTGTAGTCAAACAGCACTACCTTTATTTTCCTATTATGAATTATCTTATCTAAACCAAATGCACACAGCTTTCCAAATGCCAGAATTACTGAAGAACTGGTAGCAGGACACATAATCAGGCAGGACACATCCTCTCACCCCTATCTGAACTTCAGAGAAAGAAAAATCTTTCAGGAACAACTGTCTCTCAGATACTTCACTGATTTGCATTAACCTTGCCACATTTGGTACCACTATACATTCCTTAAATCTTTAATATCATTTTTTATTAAATACTGAATCATTTAACAACTATAGTGGAATTAAGAACTGTTTCAGAGGAGACATCCATTACATCAACTGCAACAGAAACGACATAAGCCATGAAAGCCTATTGGTGGTAATGACCACTGTGACTGTTGCTATTTTGAGCACTGCTTACCATTAATGATGATCTAAACCTTGCACCAAAACTGCTATTTTACTTGAATTTAGCCTTCATATGCAGTAAGGATATAGTGAAGACTACAAATCATCATCACAGCTAAACACATAGCAAGGTGACAGTTCAAATGTTACAGATCCCTGCAATTTCTGAGAAGTAGTAGTGCAACTTTGCAGCACACTAGAGGAGCAACTGTCAATCAACTGAAGTTCAAAAAAAAATAAGGCATGTCATGGACAACAGACAGAAGTTATAATGAAATATGCCAGGAATTGTATTCATTCTTTTTGTTGTCTGTATTCTCAGATGCAGCAACAATAAAAGGTGTGGAATATAATTCTAAACATAAATTGAGGTGGTGAAGCCACAATAAATGACTGAGACAAAATGTTTTTAAGATATAGAACTGAGTTCAAATTTATTCATACCTCACCGTAAGCCTCCCTCTCACGGAAGTGATTCAACTTTCCCGTGTCTCAGGTAGATGCTGAAGTATGCAAGCAAAAGCAGATTTGGTACTGGTTAACTGATCCTTTCCTGCCATCTAGGGGACACAAACTGGTGTGCAGAGGACTGTCTTCAGTTACATACAGGGAAACTTTCTATACAAAAGGTTTCTCTCTACCCAGCAAAACAAAAATCAACTTAATTGAAGAGTAACACACCTACCAAGAAACAACCCTAACTGACAAATAGCACAACTATTTTATTAGAGACCAAACTTGTAACAGTTTAATTCTGGCATAACCCTAAAATTTTCTACAGTAAATTTCAGTTAAATGACCAGCAAAAATATTGAGGTGGTAATTTAAGCCTCGCTTTTATGACATACACCCATGTCTTCTGAGTTACACAGCCATGAGAAAAGCCTTTTGATTTTCCTTGATTCCTCAAGACAGCAAGATGTGTGATGCTATAAGCAGTGTGTCACTGTCAACAGCCAATACAGAAAGAAAAAGGATTGTCTGTCAACCCAGAAAGTGAGGAAGTCAGAAAAAGCCTAATTGTTTCACACCTGATATTACGAAAATTTAGCTTAGAAACTTGATTTCCAATACATCACTAATGTGAAGTCTCCAGTCTCCTGCCTGCATGGCGGGCATACACATTGTGTAAACATCATGCACCTTTCCAGTGCACCACCCTCTAGGAAGCGAAACATAGAAACACTCAGTGTTGAAAGACCATCAAGGTAATTTTGGAAAAAGTTAAAGGCTTTTCCAAGATGCAAGTTTCTATTGATAATGTTGGCATTGTGACCAGGTTTCTCATACTTGCTCTCCTCACTGTTGCCTTTCAGACTCTTTCATAAGGCAGACTCTAAAAACGAAAGGAGCAAACTCAGCTAAACACTAAGCATAGTCAAATGCACAGGCAAAAATCCATACAAGTTTTTTCCCACTCTTTTGTTTGGATTTGTTTTGTTCTTACTTTGAAAGGGAACAGTACACTAAAACAAACTCCCTTCACTAAAACAAACAAAGACCCACGCTTCCCATGGCTGAAACGATGTGACAGTCTCTTCTCCCAAGATGAAAAGAAGCAGGTGTCCAGCCAAGATGTTTTGAGAACTGGTTACAGCTGCACATGATGCAGGCCCTAAGTCTGCCCCACTGAACAGACTGGAGATGAAATTAAAGTGACAATGCTACCCTTGTGAGACACCTATTCACCAAAGAGCACTCACAAATAAGAAACCTCTCAAATTTAACAGAACAACTCAATTTTATTTTGACAACAAATATTTTGAGCAGCTGTGCCCAAGTCCTCTCCCCCTTACTGTGTGCCGTGTGTTTAAAGAGCTGGAAAGAATCACTCGTTTGGGAATACTGAAGCTCTTTACCACCTACACAAGAAAGTAAAAAAAAAAAATAAACAAATAAAAAGCCATGTGCCAATGCATTTACAGCAGTATAATATAAATCTGCATAAGACATCTTAATTTCTTGAACTTAAGCTGATTAACACTGTTCTTTGGGAACAACACATTAAATACAGAATACTTTCAAAGTGCAAAACTATCAGCAATATATTTACTACATTCAGACTAGCAAACATTATGCAGTATTTGGCAATGCAAAGACATGCAGTATTCTAAGGTACACCTTTAAAAATAATTTTAATCAAATCACTTCTGGTTTAACGGGCACCGAAGTTATTAAAAACAGACCCCCAAAAATCCCACACCAGGCCTTTTTAAAAAAAAGACCCAAAACAAATCACAGCAACAATGCTGTGAACAAATTGATATTATCAATAAAACTGTTGTAGAAAATGAAGTTATTAGGTGATCAAAATCATAGCAATTGTCAAGAATGTTTCAGTTTTTAAAGATATTCAAAGGTTTTAAGTGCTAAGAAATTAAAAAAAACCCTTCCATTATTCTGATATTTTAAGGCCTACAATCTGACCATTTCCTCCTAATCAAAGTTATATGTATTCCCTCAGGTGAGACTGGATTTAGAATCAAACTAGAGATTTACAAATGGTTTTAGCCAGAAGGCATTAAATACAAAATCCTTTTTTTTGAACAATCAAAAGGCTATATATTCAGATAGTGCTCTTTATAAGTATTCAGGGCTACATTTCGAATTACATAAAAATAAACTTGAAAATAAATTTAAATTGCAAACTGAAATTAAGTCACCAAAGAAGAAACATCATTCATACTTTTATTTTATTTTTTTCATTTATGATTTTCTTCCCTAAGAACAAAAAAAAAAAATCTTATTTTCGCACATTAGAACAGCTGAACATCAGAGCAAGCAGTTTTATATCAGATCTTAACCTTGCCTTGCATTCATCTGTTTTTATAAACTTTTCACTGATTTTCATTATTTTCTGAGTTTTTGACTTAATACTCAACAGTCTTTCTCCTAAATGTGACTTTTGTTAACCAGCAACAATATACAACTTCATTCAACCAATCACTGTTTCCACATGTATTCAAAGTCTTTTTAACATTTATAACAACATATTTGTTGATACTTTTAAAATTTCATTAAGTTTTGTTCAAGTAAAAATGCAAGCAAATTGAAATTTACAAAGTTTAAAATTTTATTAAAGAAAAATCCATGTGCTTGAATTATCAAAACAAGATTTAACAAAAACATTTTGTCATTAAAGGCCTACAGTCAATTCGCAAAATGGTTCTGGTAACCAGACTCCACGTGGCTTTTAGGCATGCAGAAGTATAGAACGGTACTTTTGGAAGGCCTGGCAAGCATTTATGCAGGTTAGGTACCTGACTGCTGCTGGGACTTCACTAGGAATTAGGTGTCCACTATTGGTTTCGGTTTGTTTTTTTTTTTAATCCTCATATGACTTTTTGGGCGTTTAGTGGTCAGGTTTTTTGATCCTTAATGTTCTCAATTAATTCCGTATCTTTACATTATCTTGATAGATCTAACTTCATTCTCTTCAAATTGAATTAAAAGTTGCTAGGTCCAATCCTTCACCACCTGTTTTTCAAATTTCAGGTGAAGGAATCTAACTCAAACACCGCCAAAAGTTCTCTCCTTGTGCAAATAAGACTAAAACCAAAAATTAAGGCAAAATAATTTCTCTGCAAAAAAGTCTGAAAACAAACGTGATAGTAGGTAAATAAATGTCAAGATTAGCTTCAGTCTGAAGTCTACAGACACAGCACCATGGTATTGTTTTGTTTATAAATCTGGCTTCCCTTTTGATTTTGCATTCATTTAGAAAACAGCATTCTCACTAAAAGGTGAGGAAGGCTCATGTATACAGAATTAAAAACTTTAACAATATACAGCAAGTCTACACGTAACACTGGCTGCTGTGATCCCAAATTTAATTATTGAGAGATTTATTTTTAAAAAGGTATTCAAGTTCTAAATGACTACTCTAGCACTTAATAACAAAATTTTTTATCCTCTGTACAGAGATGTATTTTCAAGTAAAAGAATCATCTCCTAGAACTACATATCAGAGAAACTGAGACTGAAACAGATTTTTTTTAAGGCAGAAGTTCCACTGTATACCAGGTTAAAAGCCACCACAATATTAACTATAGCTAACTCATTAAGGACTTAAAAATTCATATTCGTAACTATTAATTCCAGTGCTGGCTAGAATGCTACTGATGTTCTGGGAAGTCTAGCTGGAGATATGGTTATCCTTAGAGGTTAAAGAAAGTTATGGCAGAGTAAAGTTAACCTAATCACTACTTTTAATCATTAAATAAAATGTGCTCATTTATGTTAGTAAGTTATACAAACTATTTAGAAAGAGGAATTATGAAATACTGACAATGACAAAACAGATTTTAAAAGGCTACCATCAAAAAAGTTAGAATACATATTCAGAGGAATTTCAATGCCTAAAAACAGATTCACATATGTTCATCCACCGGAAGATTAGTGTATTAAAAAAAGTTAAGAAAATACTTTTGTGTTTCAGTTCAACTGCACTTGATTCAAGCACAGCTTAGGAGTTGGCTGATATAAATTAAACATGGTCACTGCCTCAGCAGCCAAAAGTACAGAAAAATGTACATGTTCACAGGATAAATAGAAGTCTCTTCTTTTGGAGGAATAAAAAAAAAAAGTAAAAAAGCTATCTCACTCCAATACGGGAGGTCATCCACTCCAAGCCTTGGCATAATCTGAAAGATAAGAGATGTTATTGGTACTAGTTCTATCCCAAAATCTTGAAAGTATTTTCTGGTTGACTTTATGTGTAAAAACATCTACTTAAAATAAATTAAATCAGCTGGAAATGGGATTGAAAGCTGAGCAGAGTAAGCAGTGTTTTAAGCTAATTCTATAGGCTTTAACCACAAGGAAAAGGTCATGCATACTATTTTATTGAAGTCTGGCAGCACTTCAATTTTTTTTCCTTGTAAACCTGAGAGACACTACTCCTAAATGCTAACTCATAAGCACCTGGAACCAAACAATTTTTTTCTTTTTCTACAGATTTCCCAAGAAAGACTGCCTACAGGAAAGCTAGACCTTTATATACTAACTAAAAGACAAAGGGTAGGTTAACCAGACTGAATTGTTTAACGAAAAGGCAGTGTATCAAGAATTCCAAAATCGCATTACAAAATTAAAAGTATGTTTATATTGAATAATAAGACTGCATGGGATCTAATCTGCTTACTAACTCAATCTCCATCTCCATTTAAAAGTCTTCCATTTTAGAACATCGGCTTTCCTTTGATTTTCTAGCGATCTAGTTACCTTGTTTGTGCCCCCTAAACTTTACCTTTGTAAAGTAAATCATGACTTAGCTATCCAAGAATGCTAACTTCATGAACACAGGGTTAATCTCTCTAGACTTCTGTCAGATCTTTCCAAGGAAGACTCAGCTCAGCAATCTAACTCTGGGATTTTTTTTTTATATATTGGTCTTACTATTGTCACAGTTTAAATTATTCTAAATATTCACTTTTTTTTACAATAAGAAAGAAGCAGCCTATGATGGCCTCTCTTTCTAAACTAAAGTTCATATTTATTAATTATTACTTTCTTTCAAATGTCAAGTTGGTTGAAGACCTTAGTACATAAACTGAGTATTTAAAAGTGACTTTAGCAAAATTGGTAGAAGGAAACCAGAATTAACTCTTAGAATGAAACAGACTCAATGAAAAAACCAGTTTGTCCTCAGTAATGCATCCCACCCTAAGGAAGTTAATGCCATCATTCACTCTTCAAGATATCTCCACTACATTAGAAAATACTTCATATTAGAAAGCTCTCACTTCCCAAATACTCAGTTGGATTCACTATTTTTGATGTCACAAGACTGCATTATTATAAAGGTTGTACAACACAGTTGAAAAAAAATCTCTAAATATTACACATTATAAGACTGCTTTAAAAATCAAGATGAAAAATTAACGCATTTTACACCTACAAGCAAGGCATTATTCAACTTGTTAAAAGGCATCCAAAATTGTTTTTTGATCTTCACAGACAAGAGATCTAAGGAAAGTTCAGCTTCCCATTTTAGTAATTGCTGGCATAAGGTATTCAAATTTCAAAATTAGCTACATTAGCCAGATATAAACAAAATGTTAAGTATTGATAACAATTTTGGCTTTTTATACCTTTTCATCTAAACTATGTTTCAATGCTTATCAAAAAACCCAATCAACCAAAAAAACCCCACCCCAACCCACCAACTTAGAAGCTTCCTACAGATTAGAATGTAAAGGAAGAAAATAGGAGCTTATTTCTTTAAATACACCAAGACATACAGAATAAAAGAGTAGGGCACTGAGAGTAGACAGTTATGCCAACAGCTACATATTTGGGTCAAAGAGTGTTGTCTGTTTTTTGTTTTGGAGTTTTTAACAATAAACTAAAAGACTTTCATACAAACATGGAGTTCGAGCTATGAAAAAACCCACAAAGTTAAAAAAAAAAAATGAAAAATTCAAAATACCCCTCTTAACTGTAAAGAGCAAAAAATATGTTCTTTCAGAAAATCCACACTGGCATCAAAAGGATTCTACATCAGTATTCTCATTTGCCACAAATTGCTGTACTAAGCAGTAAGCATTTACCCTTCTCCTGTCAAAGCACAACAGGATTGAATGTGCCACGGGTGATCCTTTATGGAGCTGAGGGTGAGGTATGTAGATATCTCGGCAGCTGTCATGCAGCCTTTCATGTCCTGCTTGTTTGCAAAGATGAGAACTGCAGCCTTCCGTAAATCCTAGAAATGATTTAGAGTACTCATAACAGTTATTATGAAAAACTAAAAGGCTATTGTGCTAATTTAATTTCTTAAAAGAACTGTATTCAAACTAATCTACAATTACACAGGAGTATGGAGTTTTAACCAACTTTCTGTAGTAAAAATTCATTACATTAAGACTGAAGAGACTAATTTATTCAGTTCTCCATCACAGAGGATCAAATTGAAATGTAATATGAGTACCATTTTGGTATCGGCAACATGTTCATATATAACTAATGAAAGTCTTGTTAAAATATATTTCATAATGCTCCAAACCACCCAGCCAGCAGAATTATTACTGGTAAATATTTCAAACTCTACAATAGATACTATTCAAAGGGAAAAGCCTGCTAGATATCATTCCCTTGAAATCCCTTTCAACGTCATTAAACAAGTTCTGCAGTGACTAAAACAGTAATAAATTAAGAAAGCTATCTGAATTCATGTAAGTTTAATCCTGGTGTTCCAAAAAGGGAGCTGTAACAATGCTGCAGCAGCTTTAGTAACTACTCAAAAGTTGCTTTGTTTCAGTGTGGAATTTAGGATTCCAAACAGCACTGAGGCAAGAACTGGGATGTATGGCTTTAGAGGTGCAGAAGGGTAAACAAATGCAATACTCAGGAGGCTGACAGTTGCAATTAAGTGTTCAATATGCTTCAATGTATATTAAATCTGGGACTATTTCTCCATCAAGAGGAAGAAAAACAACAACAAAGTTTTATGATCTAAAGCTGAAAATTCACTCCTACAAGTAGCCCAATCTAGGCCTACCAACTGTTTTCAAGAGATAGCAGATCACAATTTCATAAGAGTTTAAGACTGGAAACTAATAAACTACATGGGAAAACTTCACCACAAGAAGTCATCTTCCCACTTCTTTTGGTAGCGTATTTGTTCCTTACTACTAGACTCAAACTACTTTAATATAAAACCGTAAAGCAAAAACTCACTTATTCAAAACAAAGCAAGATTCTCAGAGAAATGAACAGAATTACTTGCACTGTACTAAATCCTTTTCTTTCAAAAACGAGGGAGAACATTTAGATTTAAAACAAACAACTTAGCTTGAGAGTGTTTAGCTAATCCAATGTACATGTTAGTTTAGAAAGTTTGAGGGAGTTGACCCAACGTTGAACAACTCAAACAAAAGTACAAACAAAACAATCCATAAGGAAAATGAACTGAAATTAATTTATCCATAGTATCATATATGTTCCTTAATTTTAAGGAACAGGATTAAGACAAACAAGAAAAAGTAAGGAATTCCATTTTTCTAAAATAAAAATTTAAAAAAAATGTTTCTTGAAGTTTTAACCATTTAACTGAAAGGAGACTGTGGTAGAGGACAATAATTCCTTTTTAAAGTAATATGAAGCATAAGATATTTTAAACTTCAACATCTGCAAAGATTGATCTGATTACAATCAAGCAAGCCTTAATAGAGAGTGCTTCACAATAATTTTTCTGCTTATTTATAGTTTATGTGGTTGTAAAATGTGACTAACATGCATGCACATTTATTCTCAGATTTTTTTTGTGACAGTATAATTTTTGTTAGCATAGGAAGCATGTAATGTTATTTGACTGTTCTCATCAAAACTATTATCCCAACTCCCCACCATACCTCATGAGCCAGCATTCTATAAAGTTCTTCTTTTGTAATAGAAAGTCGCTCTCTATCAATGCTGTCAACAACCAGAATGATGAACTAGGAAAAAAACCCAACAGTAAAGTACGTAAGTAAAAAGTATAAATTACAGAAAGCACATTTTCAAGAGATCACTAACTGCAAGTCTTCCTCTAGAAGAGACATACACTTGCAGGACACTAGAAAAGTTTTATTGTTAGTCTTTTGCTAGAGTTGTGGGAATCATACATGAAGATTATAGCTAAAAAAAATAATCTAACGCATGCTTGCACATTTCAGCACTATTATTAAGATCTGCCTATATGTACTACGGCTAAATCTCCTTTCAGGCTATATATCATACTCAAAATAGCTATGTTACTACCAAAAAGCACCTACAGATAGTGGATTACATTTAAAATGTGGATGACAAATGTGCTACAGATGTCATCAATGAAAACAGCTGCTACTGTCCACTACTACTTGCATACTCAGGAAATTATAAATCTGAAATTGAAATTATGTACTTTTAAAGAAGCATATTTTACTTTACGGTTCAGCATCATTTTACTCACAAGGTTTAAGAAAGATTATTTCAAAGCAGTACATCAGATGTCACAAAGCTATGTATCTGTAGGGCTTAGCACTATGTTGCTGCAAACTTCATTTTACCAAGGACCTGTGCAGTTGGCCTCTCACAACTTTGCACCCTTCCATCTTTTGGTGAAGCCCTTCCAGGCTTTGGGAGACGGCTGCAGCAGTGATTTTACCCTTACTATTCCCGTTAGGCACATTATTCTTATGGCCTTGCACTTGTGGACTCTGGGACACTGCTAGGTCTGGTAGATCAGGCCTCCCATAGAAAGCAATTGTCACTGGTATGAAAATGACTGTCTACTACCCACTCTTTCTGCTCCTTGTTTTGTACCTTCTATTTTATAGCCTTGCACTAGAGAGGAAAAAGACACAGCATTATGCAGTAGGTAACACTCAAGCAAATTCTCCTAAGCATCACACAACAGTATTTGCACACAAAGCATAACAACTGATCAACACTTCAATACTTGCCCTGCCCAGTGTGCTCCAAGCAGTGCTAACAGCATCATGGGGGGGACAATGAGTAGGGAGACCAAGCACATTCTGATGAAAATTATGCAGATACTATAATAACAATAAAATAAATTACAGGGAACATATGCTACACTGGAGAGGAAACCAGGAAGATTACATTCATCTGACAGATTCCATTACTTCTATGCCCAGATGACAGTACTTCTCAACCCCTTTTCTGCTTCACTGTAACTCTCTTTGTTCACCCGCAAACCCAATAACTTAACCATGGGAGCTCCCTCCCCTTTCCTGTCCTCCCAGATTGTTATCTTTAAGTCTGTCTTAACATCCTCTCTGTAAGAATATGATCTAACACTTAAAACAGAAGTGCAGAACTAGCCATATTAAGTTGAAACTAATTGGGACAGGTATGCACTAAAATGCTTATTTGTGGGACTTTTACATTACTCCAAAGATTTTGTGTAGATTGCTCCAACTTGCACACAAGGAAAGAGAGAAAAGAGAGACAGTAACAGAAAAGGAGAATTAGAAATCACTGCTATAATTCTCCAACATATGCTCCAAATCTCTTTGCCTCAGAAAATTAAAGAGATTCATTAGCCATTGAGAATGACCACAGAGAATGAAAAACTAAGTCAATTTAATGCTGCTGTGACTTTGAGATGCCTAGCAGATGAGGAGGAACAGTAAAGGAATTATTCATATCAGGGAGGCTAGGATTGGCATACTAAACAGATCTCTTTTCTTCCTCAACTGTTTCCAGCGGACAAAGCTTCTAAGTAAAAGGGAAGTTCTTCTTTCCAAGTACTAAAAGGCACTGGATTTCAAACACTTACTAGCCAGAGTATGATGAAGAACATCACAAAAGTATCAGAAAAAGAACTAATATATGCATCTCTCCAAATTCCAAAATCAAAGGTACTCAAGGGACAAAAGCCAAGAACTTACTGCTCTGTAGCAGATAGTGCAAGCAGAAGTGTCTTCAGCCTCATGTGTGTCTTAGATGTAGCTATACTTTTCCAGAAAAAATTAAAAATTACTTTAAAACACTAGAGATGAAGGTTGAGATGTCATCACCAGGCTTTCAGTAGACCTAGGATGGTTGCTAATCTCATCTCTCTCCAAGAGAAGCATAGGACAGAAAAATCTCATTTTACAGGAGGATGGAATACTTACATAATGAGCAGTATCTACAAGAGATTTCTGCTTTTAGTAGAAATTGTAAGTAATTAAGCCTAAAATAGTTTACATCACTGTAGATGTCTCAAAATGAGTCCTCAGAGATTATATGTGCATTTTGTATTGATAACCTTTTGGCAGCAAAAAGGCTGGCATAAAAAACAAACCCCCAAAAGACAACTGACACTGAATTCCAACCTTTCCAGCAACGGCAGCTTTGCCAGTACCTCATGAGTATTGCAAAGCTAGACTTTCCTTTACCCTTGGATAAAAGCCACAAGCTGGTGAGCTTTTTAAATACCGTTGCCTAGGGAAAGTTTCATTCTTCATCCTTAATTATCATTATCTCAAAAACATTTCAGACTAGATGTACAGAAGTCAGGTTGACCACTGCAAATCCTCCCTAAATTTGCAAATTACAATGCAAAATTTTCATTTTAATCTACTTAAAGAAACCATGCAAGAAATCTGATCTGAAATGTACATTGATATCATTTATTGTCTAGGAAAAAAGTCTAACTTCATAGTTTATATCATAGATCAAACAACAGTACTGTAAAGTAAACAGGAAAAATACTTCAAATATTACCAGAGAATTGGCTGCATACCAGAGATACCTCACACTTTTTGGGTTTGTTTTTGCTCAATAAGATTTAAAAACAATACAGCTGCAATCTTTATAAAAATGTACCAATATTCCTAATAAATAAATATAATTTCTAACAAACTTGCAAAGCAGCTTCTCATACCTCTGTGTTTGAATAATAGGTATTCCACGATGACCGTAATGATTCTTGTCCTCCAATATCCCACATTAAGAAATGAGTGTTTTTCACCACTATTTCTTCTACATTGCTTCCTATGGTTGGAGAAGTATGAACCACCTCATTCATTAAACTAAAGGAAACAATATCACACAAAGGACCAATCAAAAAAATCCACAAGGCTTGTTACAGCTCAGTTATAATAAATTTGTTGTAGAAAAAGTAAATATGTGTAACTGATAAAAAAAATAATAAAAACCAGGCATATTTTAAAAAAGCTATACATTTGAAATTTATGGAATGCAGTGACTGTAGACATGCTTAAAGACATCAGCAATGAAAAATAAGCACATAAAAGGCATAACAAATGGATAAGCATCTGCATTTTAGGAGGACTCTCTTTTTAAAGGACATTAACAGATACTTAAAAAGCACTTGTCTTAAAGTAGAAGCTGCTATTCTAAAGATCCCAAATATGGGAATGTTGAACTGTGCAAAATACAAATCAAAAGATAATTTTATCAGAGCACTCTACTTAGTAACTCAATATTACAACCAATCCCAAAGGACTGTTTGGTTACATAGCCGAAAATTCCTCAGTTCTACCTTTAAACTTTCTCAAAAATGCTTAGGGAAAAAAAAGTATTTTTGGAAAACATACTCTGCTGCTTTTGTATCCAAATATACGGACAGTAATTTAGCTCCATCCTCCCTCTTTTCTACAATTACAATAGTAATTATGGTCCTGCTGACATTCTTGAATTTATCATGGATATTCTTGTAATGCTGGCAAGATTTGGGTGCAATGATGCCATTGAAAATGCCTAAGGTAGAACCTGGGCAAGATGAAATACTATTTTTAGGAATTCTCCATCACAAATTTTAGACACAGGAACAGGGAAACATTTGGAAATATTTATGGATTTTTGCAGAGTGGCTAGAATTTCCAATTAATTTAAAAACATGCTCTTCTCTGCAGTTACTGGCAATAGGATTATTTCTACGCTTACAAATTCAGATAGGCTTTGATGGCAAAAAAATTGCAGTTCACTTTGTGCTTATATGTACAATTTTGTTATTCAATTTACAGTTCAGTTTTAAAGCATGGCAATTGCTTCTCTTATCCTTTAAATATTTACTCTGTTTAGAACAACTAATACTGTTAACGTACAAACTGTGATCTGGAAACCTAGAGATTCTGCCAGGTTACAAAGCTGAATTTTCAATGATTAAACAGTGACAAATACTAAAATGCAAACAGGAAAACAAAGTAGTTCATGTACTTACAACTGGTAAAGAATAGTAGTCTTTCCAGCATTATCAAGTCCCACTATGATTACTTTGTGCTCTGGATATACAAAAAAAAAAAGAAGACAAAAATAAATTACTGGAAACAGCAACAGTTATAATTCTGGTAAATCACTTTTCCTTACTGAAGAAAGCAACAGCTTGTTTGCCTTATTTCAATAGCTTACATAGAATAGTGGCAGCTTCAAGACAAAAAAAAAAAGCCGAACAAAACTACAAAGCCTCATCTTCTCTTGAGACTACAATCTTGGGAAAAGTCAGCACTGGAGATCTTCAGAAAGGAATAGTTACTTCATCAAAAAAATCTAGTTTTAGAAAGAAAAGTACAATGAAAAAATGTAACTCGTAGCAGCGTATCATCTTAAGAACATCACCAAACATCCAAAGACTGCAAAAACATTAGCCTAATGGTCAAGGTTCAATAAAAGCCACTTGTTAAGGGACCACCATTATCCATATAATAGAATCTAAGAGGAATCTGCATTTCGAATAGACTGCAAATTCCAACTTTTCAACTTCTAAATTGAAAGTCACAGAATGACAGAATGGTCACAGAATGACAGAAGGCCTAAAGACACCTCTGAAGGTCACCTAGTTCAACCCTCTATCTCAACCAGGGCCACCTGGAGCCAACAGCCTAGGATCATGGCCAGATGGGTTTTGAATGTATCCAAGAATGGCAACTCCACAGTGCCCCTGGACAACCTGTGCCACTGCTCAGAGTTTCCTGATGTAAAGAGAGAACCTCCTGTGTTTCAGGTGCTCTGTTGCCTGATCCTGTCACTAGGCACCACTGAGACAATCTGGCTCTGTCCCTTTTGCATCTCTTTTCTCATATGTGAGATGTTCCAATTCCTTAATCATCCCTGTGGCCCACCACTGGACTCTCTCCTGTATGTCCATTTCTCTCTTGCAGTAAAGAGCCCAGAACTGGACACAGTGCTCCAGGTGAGGCCTCACCAGTGCTGAGTAGAAAGAAAAGATCATCTCCCTCAAAAAAAAAAAAAATAAAAAAAAATAAAAATTATTATTAAAAATAAAATCACTTTTTCCTGCATCAGACAAACCCAGACCCTCTCTGCTGCAAAGTCCAGCTTATAGAATAGTGATCTTTCAACTGCCGCAATGTCAATTTTTCCAGGCACGGGGAAACAAAACAGAAAACAAACAAACAAAAAAACCCTTCAGAATTTATATGCTTCTCTGTAAATAATCCTTCTAAGAATTTCAAATCCAGCAGCACAGTCTATTAGAATAGTGGTTCTTCTGCTACATGTGTGAAGTTAAAGGGTACCAATCCACTTACTGACAAAAAGGCAAGTCACTTGAGACCGGAAAATTTGCAAATAGATACTAGAAGTAAAACGTATTTACAAAGTCTGTGAACAAGCTCACTTTTGAAGGGATAATATTTACAATGTTAGGGCACTTACTCTAAAGCAAAACATGGTTCACAGCTTAAAGATTTCCTGTAAAATACTGCACTTGATTTGCAAGACTTATAATAAGTTGGTAGAAAATCAGAAGATCTATCATAAATGTCAAATTGGTAGGGCTTTGCCCACAAGTGGGTGGTTTATGGCAGTATTAAAGTGCTTGTTTTCTGGGTTTTGTTTTGGTCTTAAATCTATTGACATGTAATTACCTATATCTTTTCATACTGAAAGTGACTGTAATGAAAGATTCCAGTTTGGGAATTTTAGAAGTTTTGCTAGGCAATACCATCATAGCAAATGCTGAAATGTATTTCCTTGTGCCAGTTCCCCTACTACTGCATCCTGTCAACACATTCTGAGGAAAGAATTTTTCCTGGCCTTAAATCCAATAGTACTTCTAGCACCATAAGCAGCAGCGCCAGTAATTAGTAACATTTCCCAATACAGAAATACTACGAAATCCTCTCTGCTTTCAATGCTGATAAACCATCCCTCATAGTTTGACTGTCCATCTCTTATTCAAATTCAGTCAAAGAGCTCTCAAAGTTCAAACACAGAAATACTCTTTGGTTGTTTTCAAACCAGACATGTTGTCAACCATTGCCTGGAAGAAAATGACCCTACTTAAGCAACATTCGTTTTGAAAACGAATTCCAGTCAGGCATTACATTGCTCTTTCTCACCTTTCACTATAATACAATGCTTAGGTGTGAATTACTGGAGTGCTGGATGAAACAATATCACCCTACTTAAAGTAATAAAAAAGATCTCCATTGAGATGACTGTTTTTGAAGTGTGAATGGTTTGACATTATTTGGAAAAAAAGGCACAGCTTATCTGTGTTACCCCATAGTCAAATGGTATTTCACACAGTAACTGAATAACCACAATATTCAGACAAGAAATAGTCACACAAGTGTTAATTAATGGTGATCTGGAGATGAACATAATAAGGTGAACGCATTGGTATCTCACACAAATAGCAGTTTCCACCTTTTATTAATGGCAGTTGCTATTTAATATAGTAATGGCAAACTCTAGATATATATTCTAGATTATTATTCTATGTTTCAATTCTATATTTCCATTCTATAGTTCTAGATATAGAACTATAGTAATAGAAAACTCTTCACTTACAAACGCATTCAAAAGTTGAAGTTCTGTCTAGTTTGGTTAAAATACAGAACATTAACACACAGATGTGCATTAGAGGAAAAACACGTGAACTTAAAAACTGCCAAACCAAGAGAGAACAGAATTTTAGCAAGACAAATACTTGTTTACAAGAGCAACTAGTAGAAGACAGATGCCACATTTAGGAGAAAGGACAGTTATGGGGTAAACCATAGGCAGTGTTTATTGGTGTTCTGTACTTACAGACTAACCCAAGTTTCTCCCTTTCACTGGCTGGTATTCAAACTCATTTTGGGTTGTATTCATGAATATCTTCCCAGTCCACCATGTTCTTGGCAAAGGAAGAAGAAAATCCATAACAAAGTTGACAGAGCAGAAGACAAGAGTCAGGTAGGAAGGGGGAGGAAGTATAAAAAGTAGGCATATGTGGGGGGGGGGGAAAGACAGTATTAGACTACTCTTTAAAAGAATGCAAAGACTTCTGTTATATCAACCATTCTTAGCTCACTGTTAAAAAAATAAAGTAGTATTGTTAAAAAGATTTCTGGCAGTCTAGTATTACAAAACCGCAGGACAGTGAAAATGATCTTCTTGAAGAGGTTACAAGAAAGACATAATATGTTCTTTTTTTCACTTACTCATATATATTTCTCTGTGGTAAAAGGGCCCAAAACTGAAGATTCAGTTCTCACAACTTTGCCCTTCCCTCTTTTTTCAAAAGTTAAATTAAAAAAAAAAAAATAATTTCTAAATACAATAATGAAGAGGCTCTTCCAACACACTTAAAAGAAGAAATGGGTACCAGAAAGGTTCAGACAAAACACACACATCTACTTTCGAATAGTAAGGATCTTGGAAGCTTCAAAGTTGAAGACAGGATGCAGATAGAAGTCTGCTGAAGAGGAGGCAGGAGGAATAGCATATTTCTAAATGTCAATGGGGTTTCAATACAAATACTCAGTTTGGATACTAAAAGCTACCTGAGAGTCTTCTTTAAAGCACAAAAAAACCTGCTTAAATACATCTTGTATCTCCAGACTTGATTACAAGAAGGCAGAGAAACTGTCAATAGTATTTAGTAGTCATTTGAACCAAAATCTATTTGGTTTTGCAGATAATGGTCTCTTCCAACCTGACTGTTCAGTCTGGGAACTGTCAGCAAGCCTAAGTGACGTGAACTGTGGAGTTCCAGAAGTTCCTTGAATTAGAGCTTACCATTAGTTTTCTTAAAGCAATTTTTACAACTGTAGCAATTATTCTGAGCACCCTGAAGACTTTGAACAACCACCATTTTAAAATAATTAAAAACCAGATTTGTGAGCTTCTTAATGAACTTACTATACACACACAAAAAACCCCAAGGTATTGACAACTGTCAGTTACCTTTATCAGCGTTGTTGACATTCACTTCTGGTCTTTTCCTTATAGTTTCATTAAGAGCAATCTTGATAGCATTGATAGAATACGTCACCCAAGTTTTACTCAATCATGTAACACAGCAGTAACTTAAGCTGCTCCACCATTTATTCATATTACTACATGTTGGTTAGAAGACTGTGCCATTTCAGTACTGCACCATAGCTTCAGCAGGTCATTTTTGAAATCTGATTTTTTCTTCAAACTTCCATAAGTAAGTTATTTTTATAGTAAGTATAAGTAAGTTCAATCTTAAGTCACTTAGTAATTAGCCTTAAATGACTGCGGGGCACGAAATTTTAAACAAAAGCAACACTTGAGGCAATGTTTTTTGTCAATTTCAAAAATAAGGAAAAAGAATCAGGAAGCCATTAGAAAGTCACCTAGAAAAGAGACAAAAGTCTATTTTAAGCCCAATTGCTTCTCTTATGAGTAAAAGTACCTCTATTTCAATTCACATCATTCAATTACTACTTGATTATGACACAATATATATGGAGAGCTGAAAGACACAGAAATGCTTATATTCTTCCCTCCTTCAGGCCTAACCTCTGCACTGAAAAGGCCCAGAAACCAGAAAACAAGATTAAATCATCATGGCTAGGCTTTGCGAACGAAGATTTGGGAAGGGCTCTACCCACGTTTGTTACAAGCGCGTTGGTGGTTAAAAAGGCCAATACGAGACAGGCACGTCCAGTTGCAAAAGGCACAGCAGAAAGACTCCTTAGGTGGTAGATTCTGCAAGACAACATTCTTTCTGCGTTGTCTTTTCTCCTCAAGGGTGATCCTGCGTGTTTTCTCAAAAGCATCAGCAGCGTTATAGATGCTGTGTCTCCAGACCTCCCGATTGGAGGTCAGAGTAGACCAGTTATGTTGATCAGTATGGCCAAGGCTGAGATGTTGTTCCAGGGAGTCCTTGTATCTCCTCTTTGGGGCTCCTCTCATGCGGCAGCCAGTGGTAAGTTCACCATAAAGCAAGATCTTAGGGAGGCTGTGGTCCTTCATCCTGGAGACGTGTCCTGCCCAGTGAAGCTGTGTTCTCAGTAACATGGCCTCAATACTTGTGACTGTTGCTTGTTCTAGAACAGATGTATTGGTCACATAATCTGACCAGTGGAAGTTTAGGATTGTACGGAGACAGCGTTGATGGAAGCGTTCTAGGAGTCGCAGGTGGTGGCAGTAGATGACCCATGATTCAGATCCGTATAAGAGAGTAGACAGCTCTATGGCTCTGTAAATACTGATCTTGGTACTTTTCTTCAAGTGTTTATTTTGCCAAACTCCTTTATGAAGCTTTCCGAAGGCACTATATGCCTTTGCTAACTTGTTGTCTATCTCTCCGTCAATCTTACCATCCGAGGAGATGAAGCTACCTAGGAAATTTAACTGCTGGACTGATTTGGGCTCTGATTTGCCAATGGTGATATGGGGATGATGGAAGATGTCCTGAGGCGCTGGTTGATACAGAACTTCTGTCTTCTTCAAGCTGACTTCCAGCCCAAAGAGCTCAGCACCATCTGCAAAGCAGGATGTTAAACGCTGCAGAGCTGCTTCTGTGTGTGCGACAAGGGCGGCGTCATCAGCATAAAGCAGCTCCCGGACAAGATGATTTAAGGTCTTGGTGTGGGCCTTCAATCGCCTTAGGTTGAAAAGGCTTCCATCAGTACGGTATCAAATGTAGATACCGTCCTGATCATCGAGGTCTGCCGTGGCCCTTTGGAGCATCATGCTGAAAAAGACTGTGAATAGGGTTGGAGCGAGAACGCAGCCTTGTTTCACACCATTCTTTATTAGAAAGGGCTCAGAAAGTGCATTGCCATAACTGACTTGGCCGTGTTGATCCAGAAAACAAGATTAAATAAGGCCCTGGAATACCACCACCACCACTCAAACAAAACCAGCCACTGCTTAAAGACTATTGACAAACTCAAACCGGAAATGAACCCTTCCAAATGTATCAGAGCCAAATAGATATTCCTTGACAGACTGTACTCAGACTGTTAACCTTCCTCTCTTTCATTAGTCATTGACTCATGGATCAGCACAGGCAACACCCAGTTTCCTTAAACTGCTTTGCAATGCAGCTTTTCTTATTTCATAATCTCACATACCAGATTTGGAGAGTAGATTGTGCACTAGCCACATAACATTACTTTAACTGTTGCATTTTCTTACAAGCCAGCTTGGGTTTGGCAAAATGGGGTAACCATAATCAAAATGGGCTGAACCAACTGGAACAACTTCTGTTGCATGTACAGTGACTTGAACAGACAGATTCAACTCCCTTGTAGGAAATACTCAGATGCTACCCAAGACAGAGGGCTAAAACAGCTGAATACAAGTAATAAGAAATGCTGCAGGAATAGTTCAATAGATACGCTAGTCAACAGACACTTAGCAACAGAATGTCTTTACACACAAATTAGGTCCAGTCTCTTGACCTTCCTTGTAGTATCTTATCCTTACCACTGGAAACGCAGGTAGGAGAATCAAATTGCAAAAGTTGTAAAGAACATGTGTAAATTAATAAGACAACATTTATAGCTTTAGTAGGATCTAAAGGTATCTCCATTACAAGGTTTTCCTGCCAGGCAGAAGTCACTATGAATGAACTCAACTTTATCCATACCATATGGTTATTGCGACAGGACTGAACCCCAAAGTACAAAATGAAATGTTAGTTATCTTAAGATGTGCATTTTTCTGAAAGCTACACATATATCTTCTTCCTGCAAGTTAACAGCATTAATTCACTGGGAAATATTTCTTTAAAGTTGTCCAGACATTACTGATCAAGTACCTTTCAAATTGGGCATCTTCAGCTTGGCTATTAGTCACATTTATGTAAAGCAAAACTGCAGTGCATAATTAATAATACTCAAATGAATTGCCAATGATGCCCTGTTCTGTATTTTCGAGCACTAAGGTACACCTCCTCCCCCATGCTCTATTTGATGGAACACAGACAGCACTTTTCAAATCTTTGCTTTGTTTAACCTTTCATTTTGCCAGTATCAAGTGCCCCAAACTATCAGCACAACTCACACTAACCACAACAAACTGAAAGTATCCTCCTCCCACACTGAAGTCTATTTGCATCTTTGGAATACTGCCTCTATACAGTCAAAATCAATGTGTAAGGTACTGTGCTGGTCTGCTCAACAAACAGCTTCATGGGACAGCCTATGAATTCCCCAAGGAATTGTCTAGATTTGATGTAACTAGAAGAGTAACCAAAACCAACTCATAAATTACTATCCTTTATTATTAGTAATGATATTATTTAGAGAAAAATAGTTGTGCAAATAGAGCATAATTTCCCATTAGATGGGTCGAAACTTTCCATTTGAAGCAAACTTTCTAGAATAGAAGTTCAATTTTGGCCATGAAAAGAAACTAATTTTCTTTTCTGTGGTCACCACAAGAGGAAAAAAACCAAATCAAAGCAACAAAAACCAAACCAACAATAACTCCAGCAACAAAACAAGATCAGAACATACCCCAGAAACTTCTTATTGGGATAAACACCAAAGAGTAAATATTTCATGATATCATCTCATCTATCTTAACTGTGAGACAAATTTTCATTAACATTTTAAATATATGAATGCATTGGGTATGCATGGTGAGGTTTTGAAAGCGGGGAGAGCTACAAGGGTGTTTTCTGTGAGAAGCTGCTAGAAGCTTTTCCTATGTCTATGGAGCCAATGCCAGCTGGCTCCAAGGTCAAGCCCACCAGCAACAGGAGTAATGCCTCTAGGATAACATATTTAAGATGGGGAAAAGTTATTGCACTGATGCAACAGTGGCAAGAGAAGAGAGGAGCGAAAACATGTCAGAGAAACAACTCTGCAGACACTACGGTCAGTGCAGAAGGAGGGGGAGGAGGTGCTAGAGGTGCCAGAGCAGGTATCTCCCTGCAGCCTGCAGGGAAGACCACGATGAGGCAGCTGTGCCCCTGCAGCCCATGGAGGTCCATAAGGGAGCAGATACCCACCCGCAGGATGTGGAGGACCCCATGCCAGAGCAGGTGGATGCTCAAAGATGGTTGTGACCCCATGGGATGCCCATGTTGAAGCAGTCTCCTTGCAAGACCTGTGGACCCATAGAGAGAGAAGCCTATTTTGGAATAGGTTTGCTGGCAGTACTTGTGACCTCATGGGGGATCCACGCTGAAACAGCCTGTTCCTGAAGGACTGCACCTTGTGGAAGGCACCCATGCTGGAGCAGCTAGTGAAGAATTGGAGACCATGGGAAGAACACACTTCGGAGAAGCCTGTGGAAGACTGTCTTCCATGGGGGAGACCCCCCACCAGAGCAGGGGAAGGAGTCTTCCTCTTGAGGAGGAAGGAGTGGCAGAGACAATATGCGATGAACTGACCACAGCCCCCATTCCTCATTCCCCTGAACTGCTGCAGGGAGGAGGTAGAGAGAACCGGAAATTAAGTTAATCCTGGGAAAAAAACGGAGGGACGGGGGAAGGAGTTCAGAAATTCTGGTTTTATTTCTTATTACCCTGTACTGATTTGATTATGAACTAAATTAATTTCACAAGTTGAGTCTGTTTTGTCCATGACGGTGACTGGTGAGTGATCTCTCCCTGTCCTTATCTCGACCCAAGAGACTTTTTTTATATTTTCTCTCCCCTGCCCAGCTGAGGAAGGGAGCAATAAAATAGTTTTGGCAGGCATCTGGTATCCAGTCACCATAATGAAGAATAACTTTTCTTGCAGGAAATAATATACAATAACAGAGACAATGTGTTTTCCTGAAGATAAATACTGACATCATAAGGTACCACACAGGACAACACTAAAAGCCCCCAGTTATCGCCTGATCAGTTCTTTGCTTACAGATCTCTCTGGAGTCTTTAGAGTTCTTCACAGAGGGAAAGGATTTGCAGATTGCACTATCTGATGAAAACCAAAACAGTACTCAGTATTTTTCTGGAGAATTGGGGAAACCTTACCAAATAGGTTTGAGAGTTCAGAAAAATAAGAAATCAACAACAGCAACAAATTTAGAAGACTGTTAGATGACTTCAGGAATGATGTGGTAGGATAGTAAAGATAAATGATCTGGGACTGGGATCCCTCCCAATCTCATCCCATGAAAGACAGTTTGATACACAGATGTCAATGTGTACACACACTGAGGTTTTGCTCTGTTATTTACAAAATTAGGACGGGTTATGTGCAAACACAGTAGCAAGACTATTAAAGGGATACCAGGTGTATATGCCTCCAAAAACTTGCAACAGAGCACTGAACAAAAAAGTTTATCTGCATTCTTAGTAACTTTAAAATGGAAATGAAGCGTGCATGTGGAAACTTGATGAGAAAACAATTAACATCAGTTTGCCTTCTCCAAGCTCAGGCCCTCAAGGAAAAACAATACAAGCAATAAATTCCTCGACTCTTTATTTTCTAACCAAAGAAGGCTAGGTAAACAAAATTCATTAAAACAAATAAATTAACAGATAAACTATAATTTTCTATTTTATGATAACCACCTGAGTAAAGGTGGTGGCAGCCACAAGTTCTGAGCTCTGGACTACAGCATGAGTCACAACTGCGGGCCTGAGCTAGAGAGGAGAGAATGTAAAGCAATCCTATCCCCTTATGACCTTTTTGTTTTTGGCTGGAGAAGTGATTTTCTTGGGACACTAACTGTATTTAACCAGCATCTTTGCCAAAACACAAACAAATCTTCACCTCGAAGGCCCCAACACGTTTAGCGGGTTTTTTTTCCCGTTTAAACTAAAGACCAAAATAACATGACTTTAATAGGAGACCTCGACTCAAAAAACTAAGGTCTGCAAACAAACACGACCGTCATCGTCCATCAAAGCTTCAGCCACGATCGCGGTGGCAAAACCCGGTCCGAGAGGCAGAGACGTGTCCGCCGTGCGATCCCGGGAGCGCAGCGCCCGAAGGGCCGCCCGGGGCACACGGGGCGTTTAACGCGGCCAGGGAGGAGGGGGCGAGGAGGGACCACCTCGGGAACTGAGACAAAGCGACCCCGAGCATGAGGCGCCGCGGCACCAGCGCTCCCGGCACTGCACAAAGGAAAGACCAACTTTAGGCTGGGCGGGCCCCTCAGGGGAGACTCGGCGAGCGGAGCCGGCCCCGAGACCCCCCCGGCTGCTCGCGGCCCCCGCAGCTCCGCGGGCTCCGCTCGCCGTCCCGCAGCCGTCCCGGGCCCGCGCGCCCACCTTGGCTACCGAAGAGGCTCCACAGCTTGGCGAAGATCAGGCCCATGCCTGGCCCCGGCTTCCCACCGAGCCTCCTGGACACCCCGGGCTCAGCCAGGCGGCGGCGGTAGCGGTGGCAGCAACACCAGCTCCCCCGGACACCTCCGGCAGCGGCCCCGGAGCAGCGGGAGTGGGCGGGCGGCGGGAGGGGCGGGCACGCGGCACGGTACGGCACCGCCCCGCCCCGCCCCGCCCCGCCCCGCCAACGGCCGCACGGCGGGGCCGCCCCAGCGCCGGCACGGCGGGTGCGTCACTGCTGCGTCAGCGCGGGGGCGGGTCGGGGGCGGGCCGGGGGCAGCGCCTCTGCGGGGCCAGTTGCGAGGAGAGGCCGGCCGGCCGCCCAGGTCTGATGAAAGGCCCGCGGGGCTGGGGCTGGGCACGGTCGGGAGGAGGGAGCCGCCTCGCCTCGCAAGGGAGGGGAGTCGCGGTGCCCGGCGTTGCAACGGGAGGCGCTGGCAGCGCACCTCGCCCGTCCCCGTGTCCTTCAGCCGGGCAGTGCTGTGGCAGGTCCGCGGCCTCTGCCTTTGACAAGCGTTGCGGGTTTCAAGGCTCACAGTTCTCTCCTGTGTAGTAAAGCGTGTAAAAACAGCTGGGCTCGCTTTCAGTGCTGTAGTGCAGGTTCCTGCATACTGAGCTCTTGAGCGGGTACCCGGGTTTTATCACTCAGGAGAGGTCAGTCGGAGAGCACGAACCCTGCTCCGCCCTAGACGGGGAATCCACAGGCAGGAAGGGTGGAAGAATAAAACGTTATTGTAATCCACGCATTTCAGCTTTTTCAGAGGGAAAACATTAAAAAAAAAAAGCGCTCAGCAACGTCTTGTCCAATGAGCTCGGGTGCCCCCGGGCTCTGGCCCCGCCCTGTTGCCGCCCTCCCTGTCCCCTAGTGGAGAGCGGGTGCGGCGGCTGCACCTACTCCCCGCCCCGGCCCCGGCGTTCCCGGCTCCCATGGCGACTCCGCACAGGCGGGACTTCCTGCGGTCGTCCCGGATGAGGCGGGACCGGCCCGGGCCCGGCGGTAGGTGGGGGGCTGGCGGCGTGTCGGGGTTTGCGCCGGAGGGTCAAACGCGGTCCGGCACCGGCACCTGTGTGCTCCGCCCTTCTCGTGGTGTCCCAGCTGTCCCTCGGTGTCCGTCGAGGCTGAGGGGGCGGTGGCGGCAATGGCACCTCCCCCGTACTCCTGGGCTGAGGTGCCTCGCAGGGCGGCGAGGAGCTGTGTGTCCTGTCCTACCCCGTGGTGTTTTCAGTAATGGACGGATGGGGAAATAAAGGTGGGCGCCCCAAATTCCGCTCCCCACAGCAATGAGCCGACTGACTTTTTCCTCGTGTGTGGAAGGGTGGAGAAGGAAGGTTTGAAAGAGTCGGCATCTCTGGTGCTGACTGCGTTTGACAGCTCGCAGTGTCCATTTGCGTAGTTAGATCAAAGCGCTGGTCCGGCGTCGCGTTCTTCGCTGCAGTTTCCTCCCCACTGAGGCACAGAGAAATCTGCAAGGAGATGGTGAATAGGGAGGGGAGGCTCCCTCAAGGGCTTTCTTCTGAAGTCCGTCAAGCCTTTACTGTGTACGGCACAGCAGGTCTGGGCAAAACAATACCTCTCTCAGGTGTCGAACCTGCCACCTGCTGAACGCTTGAAGTCCGAGTCTTGTAGTTGGAGGGGCACTAAGGCTGTCTCCCTCATCCGCCTGGCTTCCTGCCGTGTCTGAATTTATAAGCTTCTATCCCCTCTCAGCTCTGTTCCCCATTGAAGATTGCAAACTGTTTAGTTTTTCCGTATTTGAAAGCATTTCATATTTGAAAGCATTTTTTCTAAGTTGCATTGGATCTGTTCTGAGATAATGGCCGCGGAAAGGGTATACATACTCTGCTCAAGCTGAAGGTTATGTGGATGTGCTCTGAACCTCCAGCTGTGTGGTTTTGACATTTCCAGGCAGCTTACAATGATTTTATTCTTTTGAAAGTTCTTTTTAACTGAGGAATTGATTTTCATTTGTGTTGTTCCTCTCCCTGAAATAAGCACATGTGATATTTGTCATTCGAATGAATGTCTTGAGTCCACATACCTTAGAGTTTCTGTGACAGGGAGCTGTTCTGCAGTCATGTTTCATACCAGGTCTGATGAACTAGTCACGGTCAAGTTTTAACTTCTCCTGTTACACATTCTGTAACTTCCTGAAATGTTCATCAGCTGTGGTTAAAAGCATAGATCTGGCATCATGCTTCTGTGTGAGTCTGCCTGTCTATACTGGGGGAATTGAAATCCCCTGGGTACTCTTTTTACCCACTGACGGATGCCAGACCCCCCTTCCCAAAGCCCTTCTGGGTAACTCCCACCAGATTATATACTGGGTAGACCGTTCTGTGGTGTGGAATATCCCTTTGGTCAGCTCGGGTCACCTGTCCCGGCTATGCTCCCTCCCAGTTTCTTTTGCATACTTCCTCACTGGCAGAGCATGAGACAAGAAAAAAGTCCTTGACTTAGGATAAACACAACTTAGCAAAAAGTCAAAATATCCGTGTGTTATCAACACCATTCTCATTCTAAATCCAAAACACAACACTGTAAGAGCATCTGAGAAGAAATTAACTCTACCCTAGCTGAAACCAGGACAATGGGACAGGATTTGGAGGTGGTAACACTTCCTTCATATTTCAAACAGTGATACAGTAGCCTTGGAAGGTATGACTTGGAAGGATGTGGCAGCAAGGAAACCAGTAACCTCGCTGTAAGTTGACTGCAAGTGCTAAATATGTTAATGAACATATTCTTCAATGTAATTAAGAGTAGTGTTGAGTGCAGTAAAATTGCATTACTAGAACAGAAGAATCAGAAACCTCGGCCTAGGTTGTGAGTACATCTTACGTTACATTTGTAAACTTAGAGAATATGATAAGAAGCACTATGAAAATATTTTGCTTATTTCCATTCCTTACCAGCAGATTTTATAAAGGAAGATGTCCTTTTTCCCTAAAATCTCCTTCCAGTGTGAAGTTGAAGAGTATCTCACCAAAGTGTTCAGAAATAACGAGGTATGTGACATGGATACTACTAATCATCAACAAATAATCAAATTTTTTGTGTAACTTTAAGACCTTACAATAAAGTAATTGTCCTCACATTAGAAAGAGTTTTTATTAAAACATATTTATATTTAAAATATAAAATTAATGTTTATGCCCATTGGCTCAAAAGAACATAAATACTTAAATTAAATTTAACACAAATCAGAGAATTCAGTTGATTCCACTGAAGAGAGATTACAGATAATTAACCACTTATTAACCACGTAATATTTACAAGACATACTCCTTTACCCCAGTATAGAACCAAAAATATGATAGACAATCCTTTAATTCCTAATGCCAAAGGATAAAATAATTACATTTTTGTATATCAATATGAAAGTTACTAATTCATAGTTTTGAATCTACCCTTCCATTTCCTTAGGACTGCTTTTTGTACAGTATCTCTATCACAGAGCAGTTACTTTTGATACTTACTGCAGACTATTTGAAATGATTTTGCTAATACAACTGTTTTTCCAATGAGTGCTTTTCAAGAAATTGATGAGGCTTCCAGTGGAATTAGACTTCCAGATACTGACATTTCTCACTATTGCACACCATACACCATATTCCTCCATTTCTATGGAATGTTTATTCAGTGGTGTCCTTTTGCACTGAGCAAGAGGCTGCTGTGTGAATCTCTTTAATATCAAATCTCTTCCTTTCAGCTTATCACTGCTTTAGGTGGACAGGAGGCAGAGAATAAATATCAATCTCTATTAAGTCGTCTGTCTCATCCACCAAGTTTTACAACTGTAAGAGTTAATACCCACTTGGCCTCAGTGAAACATGTGAAAAAATTGCTGTTTGAAGAGATCCAGAAGGTTTGTGCAATTTCTTTGTTACAACAGAAAGAATAATTCATCTTTTGCCTGATTATGAGAGCTTTTCATTACTGGAAACTACACCTTACCTTAATGCATGTCTGGTAGTATTAACATTATGCAATCATATCCATTTCCTGTCAGCATTAAATGTTAAATGAAAATTCACTGTCTAGCAGTATTCCTCATCTAACCCATCCAAGAAAGGCAATAATAGAGGGAAAAGGCAACCAACTTTTTTCACGTGGCAGATCCAAACCTTAGGATTGAGGTACTACTGTAGTAAATGCTGTCAAGGTGTCATAGGTCTATAGAGAAGATGGAAGATAAAAACTGTAGTTCAGTATGCTGTCTTCAGCATGTTTAGAACATTTTTTATTTAAGATTAAAGGAGAATGCCTGTATATCTCATTGCAGAAACTGTTTAGGAAAGTGAGAAAATCTGTATGTTTTAGAAACTGGAGACAAAGTGATGCTTTGCAGCTGCTGTATTTTATTTTTTTTTTTAACCTGTTTTTAATTTTTGTATAATTTTGTGGATTTTTACTTACCTTACTTAAACATTTATTTATATGATAATATATAAGCCATCATGTTTAAGAGGTTTATTATTTTGAAACTGTGTCCTAGATCTTCACTCTGTCTGAAAGGATCCAGTTCTTCTTTAAGTAAATTATTAATGCTAGTGGGTGTACAGGGAGCTTTTGCATGACAGGAGCCAAGATGTTTCTGTGATGCAGAGGCAGTTGACAGTTTTGTGCTGGCTGGAATGGTAATGAGCTATGCTAATTTTAGCTTGATTGTAGAAATCTGCAAGTGGGTATTGCAGTATGATATTTTGCTTCAAGGGAAAAGGCTTTGCTGAAAACTGACTTAAGACTGGCTTTTCACAAACTTTTTGTATTTTGAAGTGTGATTAGAAAAGGAAGCCACATAACACAGTTTTGAACAAAATTATGGTCATGGATTGTTTTCTTTTTTAAGGGAAAATACTTATTTATCAGAAGCAAACTGATTTATGGTTTGACGT